TGGAACCTTCCTGGTTCAACAGGGATGGTATGGCCCACTTCGCGGTCAGGTGGAAGTCCATCAGAGATGGCTTCAAACACTTCCTTGAATTCCTCTGCCAGTATTTTCATTTGAGGAGGGAAATCATCGATAGCTGGCTCCGAGGCCTCGACATTTTCAAGCTGTACCACGAATAGTGTATCAGCCGATTTAACGAAATGTTCGAACTGGTTGGCCAACACACACAGCGCGCTGGGATGTTCCGGCGTCTGTGTATCAGTGGGCAAAGTATCATTGACTCGCCACTGGATTGCCTTTCCGTTCTTGTTGAACGAGACAATGTTGTACTGGAAGTCCAGAATGACTTCGTTGGCTCGCAACCAATCCATGCCCAGGATGAGGTCGACACCTGACAAAAGTGGCAGGACATACACGCGAATTGTTTCGTTGTAATCATGTACATTCATATTGATATGTGTCTGTCCTTTACTTGGAATGACACGATCGTCACCCAAGCGAATGGGACAAGGAGGTCCTGCAACGAGGACGTTGTGCGTCGTAACCCAAGTTTCATCAACAAGGGAAACCGACGCGCCTGTATCGACGAAAATCCTTGCTTCGTCCCCATTCATGCGTCCAGATAACAGTAGATTCTGTTGGAATCTTGGACGAATGGGACATGCGACAACTAGTTTAGGGGGTCGATAGTACGCCCTAAATTTGTTGTGAGCACGTCCAAACCTTTGGGATATGGTCCACCTTACATGGTGCCCTTTGTCCCATGTTGCCAGGATATGCCATTCGTGAAAGCGGCGGAATAACTCTCCTTTCACGATTCGAGTCACCAATCCCATTGATGTGAGTGGGTGCTCTTGGACACAACGGTCCACAATATCCATGATTGCTGGCAACTCGTTGAACGAGCAAGAGATGATTGAAAATTTATCTCTCAAAGATTCAATCGAAATGTTTTCAAGTGGGTATGATCGAGTTTTAAAAACAGTTTTTTTATTAATAGAAGAGGCATACAAACAAGCGATTTTGCATGATGCAAACTTCTCTAGCTTTACCAAATCCTCATTACGAAGGACATAAGCCCCATCTACTCGATCTCGCTCACCAACTAGGTACCCACCCCCTAGTTGGACTTCGGAAAATCCTTCGGACCCGAAGGGCCCGAACCATCCGGCTTCTTGCCCTGGTTGGGCTTGCCGGAGTTCTTGACGGACTTCCTCCAGCGACACTGATAGGCCTTGTGGCCGAGCTTGCCACAGATGTGGCAGCCCGCCGGAGGCTTATCCTCATCCTGAGGACCCTTGGCAGGCCCAGCATGGGCCCTCTTGGACGAAGTCCCAGAGAATTCCCCCTTCTGCTGATAGGGCCTCTTCCAAGGGCCACCGCCCCTGTGTGCCTGAATCCTGCTACCACCCCCCCTAGGGCCTTCGGCACTAGGCTGCTGCTGAGCACGAGCGTGAGTCATGTAAGCACGGAAGTTCACATCCGTCTCAATGACCTGCTCCTTGCACTCCTTGTAGGTCCTCCACTGGTGCTCCCCGCGCACAACATGCATACGCTTGATGTGCTCAGGGAGTCCCTTGAAGAACTGGTGGATGACCTCGCTCTCAGGAAGAGCAGTCTTCAGCAGCGACAGAGTTTTCTCAAACTCCTTGGCGTACTCGCGTACAGGCTGGTCACCGCACTGGATGTTCTCCAGGCGGCTACGCACCTCGAGCGCCGGGGGCTGACGAAGGAATGCCGCCAGCATGGCAGCTTTGAACTCCTCCCAGCCAAAGGATGGCCATTAGCCTCAGCGTGGCGCTTGTTGGCATACACCAACTTGCTTGCAGTGTCGTCCAGGGCAAGGGTTGCAGCGACCACGCGAGCCTCGCTACGCACATTGTGGATGGACATAAAGTCCTCCGCAATGGAGAGCCAAGTCTCGACGTCAGTCTTGCCATGGACAAAACGAGGCAGGGCCGAAGGGCAGGAGCCAAAGGCAGATGCTGCTGCAGTAGGAGGCTCAGCACGTGCTCCTGTAGGAGGAGGACCAGCAGGAGGTGCAGCAGCAGGTGCGGCATTGCTGTTAGCGGCATTGGCGACTCGCTCTGCTGCAGGAGCAGGCTGATAGAGGTTGCCACGCCGGATCTCCCTGTACTGAGTCTGAAGCACAGAGATGCTTTTCTCCTGCTTCTTGAGCTGATCTTGCACGAACTGGAGAGTGTTCTGCAGGTCCTGGATGAAGCTGGAGGTGTCATTTCCCTTAGGAATCGACTGCACCTCCCTGGTCAGCTGCTCAATCAAGGCCTGAAGCTTAACAGAATCAGCCTCCAAGTTCTGGATGCGGCAGTGCTGCTCTCCAATGAGGATATTCTGCTCCGTGATTTGAGTCTGGAGCTTGACAGCGATGTCCTCAGTCTCATTGGAAACACCCTCGTCAGAGCCAGCCCCATCTTCATTTTCAGCATCAGCATCAAGGTCAGCTTCACTTCCATTGATCTCCATGTCCACAAAATCCTCAAGGTTGAGATCAATGTCAGCAGCAGCAGCAGCATAATTTCCCTCATTGCCAGCAATGGGCACCTCCTTAGTAGCATCCATCTCTTGACCAGAAGCCATGAAAGAGGTTAAGGAGAGGAAATCTCAACAGATCTTATAATAATCTTTAAGAAATCTGATTACTCTTATAGAATAATCCAATACAGAATCTCTTAAGATTAACTTGTTTGCCAAATCTCTCTATCACCTCAATGATAGAGCAAGATATACTCAAAATAGTAATCCTCAACAAGTCCTTATAGATCTGAAGGTACACTCTTATACCAAAGGTAGATCAAGAGTCCTCCACCAAAGGTGGGTAAGAGAAATTAATCTCTTTAAATTTCTTCTTAATGTTGATGAAGAAGAAGAGACTCCTTGTAGATCTTATAGCTCCAATTGTGTGTTGAAGTGATTGAAGCTTGGAGCTTGTAGATCTTGAAGAAGAAGTTGTAGATCTTGAAATTTCTTCAAAATCTTCAATGCTCCTTGGATAAAATCCTAGATCCACAAGCTAGGATCCTCTGAAAAAAAAAAAAAAAAATCCAAGTAGCAAATGGCCACACAAGGCCAAGGAAGAACCTTGCTCTAGATACCAATGTAACACCCAATGCCATTATAGTAGAGATTACAAGGCTTTAATAATATTCCCGGTACAATATGGTAGCTCTAGCTAATCCCTCCAAATAGCCTTGAAGGTGTGTGTCTTGTTGAAGCCTTTGATGGGAAGCACTTGAAGAAGTTGTGTAGGGAGTTGTGTGAGAGAGCTCTCAATAACTTAGGCAAAACAATCTTATTTCCAATTGGTTAGTTAGAATGGGAGGTTGAGAATGAGCTTGGTAGCTCCAATCCCCCTCAATACACCCCTTGGGGGACTTTCCCAACCATGGTTTCCATGGTGGGATGGTCCCTAGGCTAGAAGCCTATGTGACAATTAGGTTGGGTTGGAAAACCCAACTTTGCACCATTATATGGTTGTATTTTAGATTGAGTAGATTGTAACATTGATCTGGCAGTTTCTGATTGGTTGGAATTCCAACCTTTGGATTTCCACTTTGATGGGTTGGAATGTTCCAAGCCTCAATGTTGAGGTTTGGACAAACCTAACCAACCCTTCCTTCCCAAATCTTCCTTCCCAACCCCAGGTACAATCTCCCGCAACTCAACTTCATCGAGCTCAATCTCGATGGTTGCCTTAGGAGCGAGCTTGGTAGGTAGGAGTAGGGCATGCGTTACAGACGGGAACAACGGATGCGACGAGAGCTACTGGAGGCTCTGGTGAAATGGTTCTGCGCACCGCATGCGAGCGATTGGACCGGGAGTGACGTAAGGCATGGGGGTGACCTATACCGTGTGTTCAGACAAAAGCTAAGTCCTGGGTCATGAGAGTACCTCGGCATAACGAAGAAGCGATGGGCTACGGCGTCTACCACGCAGTGGGTCTAGAACGGTAAGGGGACCTTCCTCTGGCGAACAGTGGAAGCAGTTGTTTTCCCTGGCGATGTCGTCACTGTTTTGTCTGCGGTGGTATTGGCCAATCACCTTCTCGCGCCTTAGTTCCTTCGCCGTGAGTCGCGAGAGTCGCGCCTTCATTCCAGATCGGGTTACCTTGTTTGTTGACGAAGCGAAGTTCGAGAATCTTGACCTTGAAAATTGCCTCCCCCCGATATGTGGTGGGTTGGGGTTCACCCTCCACGTCAACAACGATCTTCAAACCCGCCTCGTCACCCGCCAGGTGGCCCCAATCACCGTCACTCCCTTTCGGCCGTGAGAGCATTGCTGGTGATAGCACGTTATAGAATGGTTGAATACGGTTTGATGCTAATTTAAATAGAACAAGAGCAGTCTAGCCAGATACGCGCGGGTTCTAGGGGCTGAGAAAGAAGGCGAGTGAGAAACGAAGCCATTCGCGAAGAGTGGCAAGGGCGCGTCCTTTTCGTTCGTTCGGATGCGGCTCAATCACGTTTTACAACGGTCAAATATATTTTCAATCTGGTCGAGATGGGTACTGAGCGGGGATTATACCAAAATGACACCCCCACCAGTGAGGAAAATGCAGTACGCGGCGGAGGCGACTGCTGTCCTTCAATTCAGCAACGTATTCTTGACTGTTGTTCGGCAGGATCCTCCCGTTCCGTATCTCTCGGTGCGCGCTGTAAATTTGTAGATAGTCGCGTGACTGTGGTTCATTGCCTGGGGCGAGAGAGGCGAAATGGCCAGGCTTTCCTTGCCGCACGGAGCACATCTCTTGGAAGTGCAGACAGGTACACTGTGTGCGTTCAGCCAGTACGCAGTCCCCACGTGGAAGGTGGAGTTGGATCGCAGTTATCGTCGCATTATCCGTCCGTGCGTACAATCTGCTCTGCGCCCCGCAAGTCCCCACAGATCCGCGGCCGTGCGAGCTAGGCTTGCTTTGCTCCTCATTCAGATTTGACGTACATACGTAGGGAATTTCTCTGCTCGCCTTCCGAGAGCAGCGAGCAGCCATGGACGAGTATCAGGACGACGGTCCGCAATCGTCGCAGACGTACTCGAGAGACGCTGGAAGTATCCGCGAGGGCAACTACATTGTAATCTCGGGACGGCCTTGCAAGGTACATTGATAGGGTCGGGTGTTTGCTCGCTTTCTTTGCTTGCGCCTTCATTTTCTCGGCAAAAAGACTCCTTCTGAATCGGATTCTGGACTTTTGTGTGTGTGTGTGTGTGTGTGTTTTTTGGTGGAATATCCGCAGGTGGTGGACGTTTCTACTAAAACTACGTCGAGTGGGCACAAAAAGCTCACTTTCGTCGCAACTGATTTGTTCACCAATGATAGGCGGGACGAGATGGCGCCGTACTCCCACAGTGTCGAGATGAGTTGATTCGCATGATACTATGTTGGGCGATGGGAGGGTGGGCGATACTGAGTCTACGTTTGTCGTGCCTGTGTTTTTAATTGATGGTTTTTGTGTTCCCAGGTTCCAAAAGTGGGCTTCAACGATTATACACTTCTCGATATTACCGAGGAAGGCTTCGTAAGTGTCAATAACTTGTGTCATGCTGCTTTGCTCCTCAGCTTGGCCTTGAAAGCGTCCTGATAGTCGGCGACATGATGTTGACTCAGGTATCTGTTATGAACGAGAAGGGTGACACGAGGGACGATCTCCCCCTTCCCCCCGACGAGGCTCTCCGCTCACAGGTACGATCATCGTTTCACATGATATGAAATTAATTGACGCAAAGACGATTTTCCCTTTTGAGCAACATGTGTTTTATGGCGTGCGTACTTCGACCTCTGAATTTATTGCAGATCAAGGCCTGGCATGGAGAAGACAAGGAGCTGTCCCTTTCTGTGATCAGCGCAATGGGTCAGGAGCAAATCTTCGCTGTCAAGGAGATTAATGCCCCACAGAGCAAATCTTCGCTGTCTACGCTGTGAAGGAGATTAACTTAGCAATACTGTAGTTGTTTAATTTACCATACCATTGTGTATCCTCTTCATGGTTTGGGTAGGACAGTTGAACTCATTAGTAGAGCACGTGACATGAATGCCCCAATACACTGGGGAAGCCACCCTGAGGTTATAAACCAGATATTTCAAACTTGCCGTGTAACCCTAAATATTCTAAAACCAACCGTGAATGGGTACCCCCGCTCAAACTTTCATGGGCGCACGGCTGACGTCAGTGTTTGCAGGGACCGATGGGCCTGCAGCAAGGCATCAACGGCGAACACTTCCCAACTCTCCACAGCAGCCCTTGCTGTGCCACACATGGCTCCTGCTTAAGCACAAGCTGCAGAGGATTGCTGGTGCCAGCAGGGCGCTCTGCTGCTCCCATGGACGAGGGTCAGTGGGTGGCTGGCTGGAGGCGAACCATCTGAGGGCAGGCAGCACAGGGAGAGAGAAGCACAAGGAGAGAGAAAGCACAGTGAGAGAGAAGCACAGGAGAGAAAAGCATATGGCAGACCATTGTCAGGGAGCACACTTTGCAAAGCACAGAGGCAAGCACACTTGCACGAAGCACAGGCACGCAGGAGAGCACATAGCCAGAGAGAACACTCGCGGGAAGCACATGGACACACTTGGGGGCTCTCTTAAAGCAATGGTGGTTTGCACGATTGAAGCGACCCAAGGTTGCAAACTGGAAGCCTCTCACAAGCTGAAGAGGGTTGCTGCCCACCCATCGCCCACCCTCCCATCCCCCCCCCTCCCCCTCCCCCTCCCACCCTCCCATCCCTCACCCTCCCATCCCCCATCTTCCACCTTCCCATCTTCCACCTTCCCATCTTCCACCTTCCCATCTTCCACCTTCCCATCTTCCACCTTCCCATCTTCCACCTTCCCATCTTCCACCTTCCCATCTTCCACCGCACAGGATGCCACAGGGATCCTACAGGGCGACTCAGCCTACCTGGAGTCGTTGTCTGGCAGTCACGACCATCAGTAGCGCCAGCAAAGAGCGTGCACCTCCCCTGCTCGCACCTCCCCTGCTCGCACCTCCCCTGCTCGCACCTCCCCTGCTCGCACCTCCCCTGCTCGCACCTCCCCTGCTCGCACCTCCCCTGCTTGCACCTCCTCTGCCTCCGCCCTCCCCTCCTTCTCCTTCCCCTCCAAATCCAAACCCCCCTCCCTCCCATCTGAGCCACTTCTTGTTACCTCTCCCTCCCCCCCCTCCCGTTCTTCCTCCTCTGCTGGCATTCCCTTCTGCCCTCGATCCTCACCCCCAGGATAACATCAAGGCATCCCTCTTCATTCACCACTCCACTCCCTTTTTTCCCCCATCCCCCTCCTCTCCTCGCCTCCCTCCCCCATCCCATGCGACCTACCCTCACCTCCACCCCTCCTCCTTCACACACCAGTCGTCACACCCCCCCTCCCCTCTCTTCCACCTCGCAGAACCCCCCCCCCCCCTTGCCGCCTGCCCCTCCCTCCCTTCCGACCCCCACACACACCCCCCCTCCTCTTGCCGCCTGTTGAACCATCACCCCCAACTCATTTCATCAGCAAGAACACCATGCGCCTCTGTCAAACACCTGTCTGTCGCCATGCCTGCTACTTCAAAAATTCGATGCCGGGTCAACTCCTGGCAATGTGAAGTCACCGCACAGATATTCAAAAAGGAGGCAATGACTGCTTGCATATAAATAGGGGACTTACATCACTCTAGCTTATGTGAAATGCAACATTGATGATGTGGCACCATGTGCTGCAACATTGATCATGTGGCACCATGTGCTGCAACATGCAGGTGACTGGGAGGGAGCAAAGTGTGACAAACAAGACAATTATGCAAATGTGCTAACCATGGGATGCCGTGAGTGAGGAAGAAACAGCATGTGCACCTAGGCTGCATCGCCACCAACTGCTGTAAATCACCTGTCCGTCTGCAGCACTTGCATCAACCCCACCGCAACTCATAGCATCAGCAACAGCACCATGCGCCTCTGTCAACCACCTGTCTATCGCCATCCCAGCCAATCGCTCAGCCACAGACCATCAGTGCTGCAGCCACAGTGCCTCCTATTTTCCCTGACACAGTCATTTAAAAACCATCTCAGTCAAGCAATCAAGCAAAGAATCACTCAACCCACTCACCTGTCGGTGACCGTTGGTGCGGCGGTAGTTCTTTCTCCTCTTCTTCTTAAACACTATCACCTTGGCGCCAAGAGCCTGCAAACATCGGGCTTCGAAACAGCAGGGAGAGACTAAGACGTACGGTGTTTTGAGGGTTTTGAAACAGCAGGACTGTATTTCAAGACGCCTAGGACATACAGTTGTACTTTGGCCTTGCTTTCTCAAACACACTCAACTCGGCATCTAGCTTAAGAGAGTTGGGTGAAGAAATAAGATTGGCTGCCCGATGTGAGGCATCCCATACAAATGCAGTGAGCCTAGAATCAGGCAATGGGTTCACAACCTCAAGTGATGTGCTGATGCACGAGCACTCGGACACTGCTTGGAACAAGAACGACGTCCGAGCCATGTGTTGAGCTGATGCGCGTGGTGAGCTGAGGACCAGACCAAGGAATAATTAGAGCGTCCGAGTCATTTAGGCTAGAATGACAAAGAGTATGCGAATCAGATTTAGCGTGTCTATCATGACACAGCTTAGGGCAGGAGAGGGGAACTCACGTGCTTAGGGCAGGAGAGGGGAACTCACATTCGATTTATTCAGAGCACCGAACTGCACCCTACGAGATGGTAAGTGCAAGCATAGGAAAAATGTGCAGCACCGCACTGAACCCATGCACCACAAGATGGTATGTAGCTGAGTAGTTCCACATTAAATAGCCTCTACCACACAACACACTTTGCACAGAACCGCAATGAACCTGACCATACCACACCACACCTCCTCCTACTGCAACAGACTCATACGCACGCCATCATTGCCATGTGCAAATCCATATGCAGCATAATGTAAACACAGGCACCGCACTTAAACGCATACGCACCGCACTGAAAATGCAAGCACCGCATTCAACCTAGTCCCACCACGTCGTTACGACCGCTTAACTGGCGACAGTGAGTGCGACAGTGTGTGCGACGGTGCGTGCGACGGTGCGTGCGACGGTGCGTGCGACGGTGCTAGCGAACTTCTCTCTGACGGCAACGTCGCAGCGGCACCAACGGACTCTAGGCCTGGACGAGATAGCGAATCACTTTACAGATGGAAAGGACATTGGCGGAGAAGCGACTCGGCGAAAACGTGGCGAGATTGCGAAGCGGAGAACCTCTGAGCGATTCAAAGGCTAAGTGCGCATCTGCGGAGTCTCGGCATCGGCGCGTGTGGCTGCTGCAGGCACGGCCCGCCGCGATTACCGCTCGTCGCATGGCGGAACGGAACAGCGAGGCACAGGGGAGGAATTCGTGCGAGCGCGTCCAGAGTGTACTAACTAAGCAGGAGAGGAAAAATATGTTTGGGTGTGGTCGTATGCGGTTAAGTCCGTCGTGTCGAAGTTTTCTTCAGTCAAACGCAAGCCTTTGAAGAAAATAAAAAAGTTCTTCTAACGCGCAACTCAGACGTGTAGCGGGGCAAACACTATCGATGCAACAGCGACCGTTGTGCTCGAGGGCCGGTGGGTCAGGCATGGGTCGTTTTCAACTCTGTTTAGACTGGGGGGTGACGGTTCAAAGCGGTGAAGCTGTAAGAACCGCTTTGAAATCCACGGCACCTTTTTCTACCGCATAAACTGCACCGAATCTGAAGGTGACCAATTTCCAGAACCCTCGCCTGCTGAACTGGCTGGGCGGCTGTTAGGACGATGCAGTGTAGGAGGAGCGAAATGTGGTCCAGAGGCAAACTGTGGTCCCTTTCAGAGGCAAACGTTTCTCATGAATGACGTTTGATTTTTGGCTTCCCAGGTTCCAAGAGTGGTAACAAACGAATATCGAATTCTCCGCTTGTTGGGGGAAGACACAGTAAGTGTACATATTTTTGTGTCATGTTGTTCCTCGGCTGTTGTTCGGGCGTCCTGATAGTTGGCGGCATCATGTTGCTTCAGGTATCTCTTACCGTATGAACGGTGCGGGGGACACGAGGGACCATCTTCGCCTTCCCACCCACGAGCCTCTTCGCTCACAGGTACAATACAATATCATTCGACTGGACGCCCGAGTGGTAAATTTTGCCCCATCTGTGCGTAATCGCCACTTGTTTTATGGCGTGCGTGCGTAATTGGGTTCCTCCCTCCTTTGGATCTTGCAGATCAAGGCTGCCTGTGCAGAAGACAAAGAGCTTATCGCTATTGTACTCAGCGCTATGAATCAGGAGCAGATTTACGACGTCAAGCCTGTCCAGTAGTACGTCCCAGTACATGATCGGGCTGCGTAGCAACCTTATACATTCGTTTTTCACTTTTTGGTTGACTGGCGTGAACTGTGATTTTCCCCCATCGGTTTTGGAAGAACTCATTGTTCACGTAAGTTTCACGAAATTTGGAACCAAATGTACATAACTAATCATTCCATAGTCCTCAAGAAATACGGCGAATGGAACAATTGATTGTACCAAAACACTAACGACTGAGGGCCTGCTTGAAACACTGGAATGCCGGATCCCGTAAGACACCTACCGTAGGTGCCTTTGGTGTTTTCACAAATGCTTGTACAGATTCCAGCTGGCATGCGGCGCGAACCTTTCTGCCAACTTGCAGGTAGAGGAGGGCCTGATTTCCAACTGGGTTCACCTGAAAGGCAAAAACTGCCAAAAAGCATCTGGGCCGAAGATTATGGGGGTAGGAAGCACAGGGGGATGGAAGCACCGGGGGGGGGGGGGGAAGCACAGGGAGAGGCAAGGACAGGGAGAGGGAGGAGAACATGGTGAGGGACATATGTGGTGAAGCACGGACGCACGGAAACTCATTTGGGAGGTCACTTATGATCCTAGGCGACGATGAAAGGTGACTTGAAAAAGTGCCCAAGGTTGCAAGGTGGAAGAGTCCCACAAGCTGCAGAGGCATCTTAGGTTGCTGCACTTCCATCGCCCACCCTCCCCCCTCCCACCCTCCCCCCTCCCACCTTCCCCCCTCCCACCCTCCCATCGCCCACCCTCCCCCCTCCTACCCTCCTATCCCCACCCTCCGATCGCCCACACTCCTATCACCTATCCTTCCACCCTCCACTCTCCCTCCCCACCCTCCCACCTGGGCAGCCATGGCCATCAGCAGCGCCAGCAGAGAGCGATTCCCTGCTTGCACCTCCCCTGCCTCCGCCCTCCCTCCTTCACCTTTCCATCCACCTCCCTACCCTCCCCCCTTCCCTCCAATGTGTCAGCAGCACAGCTAGTTGCATGTGGGAGAAAGCATGCATGTGTCCTCCCTGCCATGCTTGTCCGCACCTCCGCCCCATCTTCTACGTTCACTTGCAGCTGATCGCACTGCCCCACTCACGCCCATCGCTCCACATGCCACCTGCACGTTCACTGACCCACTCCCTGCACCCCCCCCCCTCCGCCCCTCTCTCTCTTCCTCCCACATTTCCTCCCCTTCGTCCTCCTCTCCCTCACTCTCCACACAAGATACACCCCTCTTCCTCTCACCACCCCCCTCCCTGATTCCATGTCCCCTTTCCTCCTCGGCCCATCTGACGCTGTTCAACGTGACCCCCACCGCCCCTCGCTTACACACCATTCGCCGCACCCGCCTCTGCACCTCCCTCCCCTCCACCTCTCACAACGCCCATCCCCTCAAAACCCCACATCCTCCCTGAGTGGCCTGCAGTGACCCATTCAAAGGTGCGCCAAGCCTTGCCACCCAGCACAGATCGAAGGAGCACGGAAGGGGCGGCAGGGGACGGGCGAAGAGGAGGAGTGCTGCCTCGGAGCCACCGACAGCTGCTGGGACGATGCAGGCGCCGTCTTCTGCGGGGGGTGAGGGGGGTTGGGGTGAGGGGGGGTAGGGTGGGGAAAGAAGGTGCCTCTTGAGACTTCCAAGAGTCACCGCCTCAGAGCCACTGGCAGCTGCTGGGACGATGCAGGCGCCGTTGCCTGGGAGGGGAGGGGGGGAGAGGAGGAGGGGGGGGAAGAAGTGGAAAGGGAGGCATTTGAGTTGACTCGAAGTCACTTCGAGCCACCGGCAGCTGCTGGGACGATGCAGGAGCCGTTGCCCGGGTGGGATGAAGGGGGAAGGGGGGCGGAAGAAGAGCGGGGAATGGCATTTGAGTTGACTCAAAGTAACTTCAAGCCACCGGTAGCTGCTGGAACGATGCAGGAGCCGTTGCCTGGAGGAGAGTGGGGGAGAGGAGAGGACGGGTTGTGAGAGGGGTGTGGGGGGGGTGTTGGATTGGTGTGGGAGGGGTGTGGGAGGGGTGTGGGAGGGGTGTGGGTGGCAGCTGCTAAGAAGGCGCAGCAGTCTGAGTGAGCAGGGGCGAGGGGAGAGGGGAAGAGGGGTGCAAACATGCGTAGGGCAGCAGAGGAAAACTTACATCCAAAAATTTCACCGAGATGGTAAGTGCAAGCACAGGGAAAAAAATGCAGCACCGCACTGAACCCATGCCCACAGAACCATCGACACGGGAGAAGATTAGAAATTCCACACTAATAGCCTCTACCACACAACACGCTTTGCACAGACAGAACCGCAATGAACCTGACCATACCACACCACATCTCCTCTTACTACAACAGACTCATATGCATGCCATCACTGCCATGTGCAAACCTAATGCATCACATGTGAGAATAAAAGTTGGAAGAGAAGTTGTTGTTGAATTGAGAAGAATGGGGGTTTACATAGGGAATGGGTTGGATCCTAGCCTAGGTGACCATTATTGGACCCCACCCATGAAGTTGGGTTGGGGAATTATTGGTGGGGTCCAATAATGTTGGCCAAGTTGGGGTTGGGCCAACATTATTGGTGTGAACCAATAATTCTACCCAACCCAACCTTTGGGGTCCAATAATTGGACCAAGGTTGGGTTTCCAACCTACAAATTGGGTAACCCCTGCTTGAACACCCAAACTAAGTTTGGGTGCTTATCTCTAGCCTATCCTATAACATCTATGCAGGTTACAAGAGAAGATAGATTCTAACACAACCCCTTAACCTGCAGAGATGTGGAAAGGCTTGAGGGAAGCAACCCCTGAATCAAGGCGCGCCTGGGGGAGCGAGGCCGATGAGGCGGAGAAGAGCAGAGTGCGCAGGGCGAAGAAGTGGTTTGGTGAAGATATCTGCCAGGTTGGCCTTAGCGGCGATCTTGCGAACGGCGATGAGATTCTGTTGGACAAGGTCACGGATGAAGAAATAGCGGAGCTCAATGTGCTTGGAGCGACCGTGAAAAACGGGGTCTTGGGTGAGATGGATGGTGCTGGCATTGTCACACCAGAGGGTGGGGCAGCGCTGGGGAACACCAAGCTCAGCTAGGAGGAAGCAGAGCCAGCGGGACTCTTGCGCGGCCATGGTGCCAGCATAGAGCTCAGCTTCACAGGAGGAGAGGGCGATGGCGGAGGAGCGAGTAGAGCGCCAGCTGATGAGGCCGCTACCGAGGGTGAAGCCATAGCCTTGGGAGGAGCGGCGGTCTGGCTGGCAGTCTGCCCAGGAGGAGTCGCTGAAGCCAGAGAGAAGGGGGGGGGAAGATCCACCCAGTGTGAGAGCGTGGTCCCTGGTGCCACGAAGATAGCGGAGGACTCGCTTGGCGGCAGTCCAGTGTTCCTCAGTGTGGCGGCCGGGGCCGACGAATCGAGCAAGGACGCTGACAGGGTAGGCGAGGTCGGGACGAGTGCACATCATTGCGTACATCAGCGACCCAACAAGCTCGGCGTAGGGCCGGGAGGAGGTGGAGGGGGAGGTGGGTGGCGCAAGCTGGTGACCGAAGGGGAGGGGTGTGGAGACTGGTTTGGCTTGTGCCATCTCGAACTTCTCCAGGACCTGGCCGATGTAGTGGGACTGGGAGAGGGTGATGGTGCGGGCGGATCGATCACGAGTGATAGCCATGCCGAGGTAGTTCTGGAGGGGACCAAGGTCCTTGCACTTGAGACGTTCCTGAAGAGACCGTTTCACTTGATCCATGTCAGTCCTGGTGTCAGCGAGCAGGATCATGTCATCGACGTAGACCGAGATGAAGAAGCGACTGGGGGAAGAGCGGATGAAGAGGCTGGCGTCGGAGTGGGAGGGGGAGAAGCCAAGGGACTGGAGAGTAGCAGACAGCTTCGCATGCCATTCTCGTGGTGCCTGCTTCAGGCCGTAGACCGGTCGCTTCAGCTGCCAGACGGTGTTGTCGGGGAACGTAGCATGGAACCCGGGAGGTCGGCGGAGAAAGATGCGTTCGTGCAGTTCACCTTGCAGGAAAGCGTTGGAGACGTCCATGGAGTCAATCTCCATGTCGTCCCGCGCACCGATATCCATAAGGGTGCGTAGGGTGGCTTGCCTGAGGGTGGGGGCAAATGTGAACCAGTAGTCCTCAGCCCAGGTCTGGGTGAACCCCTTAGCAACATAGCGGGCTTTGTAGACTGGTTCCTCTCCCGGCAGCTGTTTGACTCGAAAGATCCACTTGCCCTCGACAAGGTTGGCGTCAGGGGGAAGGGGAACGTCGATAAAGGAGTCGTTGCGGATGAACGCCTCACATTCCAGGAAGATAGCGGCTATCCACTTGTCAGCGTCAGGGCAGGTGATAGCTTCCTGGAAGGTGGTGGGGACGAAGATGGTGGGAGCGGAGATCGCGCTAAGGAGTAGAGCGCCGAGGAGGTCGGGGTAGAGGGTGGAAAGAGAGGGAGTGTGGCGCTGGACCATGGCGAACTCCTCATGGGAGTCCTCGAGCTGGCTGAGGGAGGAAGGTGGCGGAGTGCCAAGGATGGGATCAAGAGAGCGGGTGTGCATGCGAGGGAGGAGGAAAGGTGAGGAGCGGGCAGTCGCCCTCCGCCGCTGTTGCTGCTGGTGCTGCTGGAACCCCTGCTGCTGCTGCGGCTGCTGCCCCTCCTGGTTCTGCTGCCCCTGCGGCTGCTGCTGCTGCTGCCGCTGCTGCTGCTGGTGCCGCTGCTGCTGCTGCTGCTGCTGCTGCTGCCCCTGCGGCTGCTGCTGCTGCTGCTGCTGCGCTGCTGCTGCTGCCGCCCCTGTGGCTGCTGCTGCTGCCCCTGTGGCTGCTGCTGCTGCTGCTGCTGTTGCGGCTGCTGCTGCTGCCCCTGCGGCTGCTGCTGCTGCTGCTGCTGCTGCTGCTGCTGCTGCTGCCCCTGCGGCTGCTGCTGTTGCTGCTGGGATGGATGAGAAGGAGAGTGGGAAGGAGAGGAGGGAGGGGGAGCTGCGGAGTGTGCAGGGGATGTTGGAGCAGTGGGATCGTAGATATCGGCAGATGAAGGTGGCGGAAGCGGGGTGGGGAGGGGTGGAAGAAGAGGTGCTGGAGGGAGGAGGGGAGGGAGGACAGTGTCGGTCCAAGCGAGAGGACGTGTAGGAGGAGGGAGGGGGTCTGGTGGTGGGGAGGAGTAGTATGGGGTGGTCTCATCGAACACAACGTCGATGCTGCGGATGAGGCGACCAGAGGGAGGGTGGAGGAAAAGGTAACTGGGCGAGTCGCGGTTGTGGCCAAGGTAGACACACTCGAGGGCACGAGGAGCGAGCTTGCCTTGGGTCCGGTCAGCTGGAGGGATGAGCACATATGCCTTGCAACCCCAGACACGGAGTCCAGCGGCGTCAGGTTTGGACCCTGACCAGAGCTCTGTGGGGGTAGTGGCAGTGTGTTGGGGATGGGAGTGAAGGTTGAGGAGGAGGGAAGCATGAAGGAGGGCATAGCCCCAAAGAGAAGGAGGGGTGGAGGCGTGAGCGAGGAGACAGCGGGCGATCTTAGTGATTTCGCGGATGCGGCTTTCTGCGATGCCGTTCTGCTGTGGGGAGTGGGGAAGAGTGTGGGTCTGTTGGATGCCATGAGTGGTGCAGTAGTGAGAGAGAGTGCGATTGAGGAATTCGCCTCCCCCATCAGAGTGGAGGCGGCCGATGGGACGTTTGAAGTGGGTGCGGCATTGTTCTGCCCAGCGAATGATCATGGTCGGCGCCTGATCTTTTGTGTGGAGGAGGAAAACGGTGGAGTAGCGGCTATGATCGTCAACAAGAACCAGCATGTAGCGATGGCCTTGGCGTGAGCGGGTGGGAGAGGGCCCCCAGAGGTCCATATGGACGAGGTCAATTGGTGCAGGAGCAAAGGAGGGGTGGCTGTGATGAGGGGATTGTTTGAGTTTGCCGTGGATGCAGGAGGGGCATGGGGGGGCCAAGTGGAGGTACCCGCACGAGTGGTGACATGACAGGAGGATGGCCACGGAGTGCGGAGAGTGTAGAGGCGAGTGCGGGGGCAGAGGGGTATGCGGAGGAGGAAGCGGCCGGAGGCAGTATGGTAAAGGTCACAGTAGGTGGCATTACCAGGATAGACCGCAGTGATACCTGCACCTTGGATTTCACGGTGGGAGAGGAGGTTGTTTCGGAGAGTGGGGATGTGGAGACCAGTTACCTTACCAGAGGGGAAGAGTGAGCAGGGGAGAGTGGAGAGGTGTGTGCATGGGATGGTGAAGCTGCTGTCAGCACCGTGAACTTGAGTGGGAGGGGAGAGGGGTGTGAGTGTACCAGCATCTTTGAGAGCAGTTTCAGTGGCCCCACTGTCTAGGACAAAGTCCAGAGTGGGCGAGGAGGAGGAAGACACGGAGTACTGGAACGTGGTTTCATTAATGTTGGATGGGTACATGGAAGGAAGAGAGGGTGAGACAGAAATGTTGCCAAGAAAGCTTTCCTGAGTGAGAGGGGTGGCAGTGCCACTGGGGGGAGGTGGAGCACCCCAAAGGGGAGCCGGGGAAGCCTGGGCGGCCATGGCTGCTGTGCCAAAGTTTAGCTGCTGCTGCTGCCAGGGAGGAGGGCTGGGTCCCCACTGGGGCTGGGGCCCTGATCCCCATGGGTGCTGCTGCTGCGGCTGTGGGTAAAACAGCTGCTGTAACTGCTGCTGCGGCTGCTGCTGCTGCTGCTGCTGCTGCTGCTGCTGCTGCTGCTGCTGCTGCTGCTGCTGCTGCTGCTGCTGCTGCTGCTGCTGTTGCTGCTGCTGCTGCTGCTGCTGCAGGAGGTGCTGCTGCTGGAGGTTGAGGAAGGGCGCGGGGGGAGCAAGGAGGCGGAGGTGGGCGGGGAGATAAGTGGGGTTGGTTTGGATGTCAGTGGGGGAGGGACGTGGGGAAAGTGTTGCCCACTTGGGAGGATTGCCAACGTTGCCTCGTGCGTACCATGCATCATCGAGGATCTTGAAGCAGGTGGCAGGAGGGTGGTTGGTCTGTCCGCAGGGGGTGCCAGCCCGGGGACCATAGCGGCGGACATAGGTGCAGGGCGGAAGAGTACCAGGGCGGGTCCCACTGGTTGCAGATGCTCCGCCTGTATTGGGGGTGCCATGCTCGTCTCCAGTGGTGCCGCTGCGTCTGTTCGGGTTGCTGCTGCCTTGGCCGCTACCTCCCTTGCCTCCACCACCCCCCTTGCCGTTGTTCTTGCCCTGCTTGCGGGGCTGAGTAGCGTTGAGGGAGGAGGAGGAGGGTTGGGAGGAGGCGAGGTTGACGACGGGGGTGCGAAGTTTGACTTCGGTGTCTATGATCCACTGTTCAACGGAGGCGAGATCGGCTAGGGGATTGGCCTCGGTAAAGGCGTGAAGGCGGGATTCATAGTCGGGAGTGAGGTTAAACAGGAGGCGATGGATTTGGAGAGGTTCGGAGAGGCCGGCTTGGCGGGCTTCGAGACGGTCAGCTACCTCCCGCATGCGTCCGATGTAGTCGACCGCTCCGTCACAGGTAGCAAGGGTGATTGAGAAGTATTCTTGGAACAGGATACCGACCGAGCTGATGTCGCGGCGTTCGAACATCGCATGGAGTTCTGCCCAGATGACCGAGGCCCGAAGCTCTCGAGCCTGGAAGCGGCGCATGAGGGAGTCAGGGAGAGCCCCAAGGAGAACGGTGCAGGCACGAGTGTCAGCAGTTGTCCAGGCGATAAGTTTCGGGATGTGGGTGGCCATGTCGTCTTTGTATTTGGCGACGACGGCGAGGTGAGCGTTGCGGCCAGCAACCGCCTGGTCATAGGCTTCGACTGCTGCATCGTACTCTGCTTTCTTGATAAGGTACGCACGGCGGCGTAAGATGAAGTCTGCATCAGCGGCGGCTTGGTCGCCTGTGCTTTGGAGGTCGGGTTCAAGAGGAGGGTCGCCGGGAGAGGGAGGGAGAGGAGGAGTCTCGCCTGGGTGTTCAGGTTCGGTGGGGGGGAGTGCCTGGGGACGGCGGAGGAGGACATCAAGGACACGGTAGGGGGGAACCCATGCGTCGGAGAGAACTCGTCGGATGCTGCCGACGAAGGAGTGCCAATTGACGGCGGATTTGTCTGCGGCAAGCTGCAGCTTATCGACGGAGGACGTATCAATAGGAGGAGGGAGGGGGGCGCGGGAAGGTGCGGCGGTAGCCATGGAGGACGGCCGCAGGGAGACCCGCAGTGGTCACGGAGGAGAGGGAGGTGAGGCGGCGACGAAGCCGCAGAGGGGAGCGGCGCGGACGGCGACGGCTGGTGGGGCCGCGGTGGCGTTGGCGCGGAGGCGGCGACGAGGCTGTGAGGGGAGCGGTGCTGGCGGTGGCGGCTGACGAGGCCGCGGCGGCGCTGGCGTGGAGGCGGCGTTGGGGCCGCGGAGAGGCGCAGGCGGCGGCGGCAGCTGGCGCAGCCGCGGCGGGACAAGCGCGGAGGCGGCGACGAGGCCGCGGGAGGGAGCGGCGCGGACGGCGGCGGCTGGCGAGGCCGTGGCAGTGCAGGCGCGGAAGCGGCGACGGGGTCGCGGGAGGGAGCAGCGCGAGCGGCGGCGGCTGGCGAGGCCGTGGCAGTGCAGGCGCGGAAGCGGCGACGGGGTCGCGGGAGGGAGCGGCGCGAGCGGCGGCGGCTGGCGAGGCCGCGGCGGTGCAGGCGCGGAAGCGGCGACAAGGCCGCGGGAGGGAGCGGCGCGAGCGGCGGCGGCTGGCGAAGCCGCGGCAGTGCAGGCGCGGAAGCGGCGACGGGGTCGCGGGAGGGAGCGGTGCGAGCGGCGGCGGCTGGCGAGGCCGCGGCGGTGCAGGCGCGGAAGCGGCGACAAGGCCGCGGGAGGGAGCGGCGCGAGCGGCGGCGGCTGGCGAAGCCGCGGCGGTGCAGGCGCGGAAGCGGCGGCAAGGCCGCGGGAGGGAGCGGCGCGAGCGACGGCGGCTGGCGAAGCCGCGGCGGTGCAGGCGCGGAAGCGGCGACAAGGCCGCGGGAGGGAGCGGCGCGAGCGGCGGCGGCTGGCGAAGCCGCGGCAGTGCCGGCGCGGAAGCGGCGACGGGGTCGCGGGAGGGAGCGGCGCGAGCGGCGGCGGCTGGCGAAGCCGCGGCAGTGCAGGCGCGGAGGTGGCAACGAGGCCGCGGAAGGGAGCGGCGGCGGCAACGGCGGCTGGTGGAGCCGTAGTGGCGTTGGCGCGGAGGCGGCGTCGAGGCCGCGGAATGGGGTGGGCGGTGGCGGTCGGCGGGACCGCGACAAGGCGAGCGCGGAAGCGGCGGTGGGGCCGGGGAAGGGAGCGGCGCAGGCCGTGACGGCGTGGGAGGCCGCGGGGCTGAGAGGGAGGGAGTGCTTGAGGAGAGGGGGAGGGAGGCGAGGTAGCCGCGGAAAGATGAGAAAGGAGGCCGGGGGTTGCGGCGGCCTTAAAAAAAAACTAGGAGCGTAGGCCTAGGATTTTTAAGAGCTCTATACCATGTGAGAATAAAAGTTGGAAGAGAAGTTGTTGTTGAATTGAGAAGAATGGGGGTTTACATAGGGAATGGGTTGGATCCTAGCCTAGGTGACCATTATTGGACCCCACCCATGAAGTTGGGTTGGGGAATTATTGGTGGGGTCCAATAATGTTGGCCAAGTTGGGGTTGGGCCAACATTATTGGTGTGAACCAATAATTCTACCCAACCCAACCTTTGGGGTCCAATAATTGGACCAAGGTTGGGTTTCCAACCTACAAATTGGGTAACCCCTGCTTGAACACCCAAACTAAGTTTGGGTGCTTATCTCTAGCCTATCCTATAACATCTATGCAGGTTACAAGAGAAGATAGATTCTAACATCACACTGTAAACGCAGGTACCGCACTAAACACACACGCACCGCACTAAACCTGCAGATACCGCATTCAACCCAGTCTCACCCCGTCGTTGACATGGGCGAAGTTGAGCTTCTCCACGTAGATGGCATCTCCTGGCGTCACCTTGAACTAGTGCGACCTCACCTGATTGGATAACCACGTGCCACGTGTGCAAACGTGACAAGTCAGCAAACAGACCCTTCCTGAACGGGGTTGGCGGCACGTGTATTCGCATTAGTAACTTCTGGTAGAAGCATTCGTGATGCTAGAAGCTGCGCTACACTTGTGTCAGCCTAATGTGTGACTTTGGCTAACGTGCAGCGAGCGAGGCCATAACGAGGATTTTACGTGAGCAGAAGGACCGGGCGGTGTGACAAGCGACGACCGCTTGAATGACAATAGTGTGTGCGACAGTGCGCGCGACGATGCGTGCGACGGCGCGTGCGACGGCGCTAGCGAACTTGTCTCTTACGGCAACTTCGCAGAGGCACCAACAGACTGTAGAAAGCACTGTACAGCTGGAAAGAGCATTGCGACGTGGCGGAAACGATGAGGATCGCGACGCGGAGAACCTCTGAAACAACTCAGAGGTTAACTGGATCCGCGGAGTCTCGGCATCGCCGCGCGCGGCTGCTGCAGGCACGACCCGCCGCGATTAGCGCTCGCCGCATGAACCGAACTAGGAGGTACAGGGGAGGAATTAGTGAAAGCGCGATCAGCGTGTCTGACTATAACTACTAGCACGAAAATGACACGAAGACGGTTATTTGTGGTCGTACGCGGTAAAGTACGCCGCATGGAAGTTTCCTGAGTAGAATGCAAACCTTTGAAGAACTTTGGAAACTCCAAGAAACACGTAACTCGAATTTACAGCGGGGAAAGCACTATCGAGCAGCAGTGACGGGGGTTTGCGGGGT